TGAAAATCCAGTTACTGTCCAGGAGCTTTACAGACCCTAGGCTCCTCTCTTTCACTGTCAGACTAGTGGGACAATGGCTCCAAGGCCCCAATAAACTGGAATTTCTCCAGGGGTCTCCTGCTGGGAAAGGAAGCCTGCTGAGCTCGCCTCCCAGGAAGAGATTTCACTCAGTTCAGGTCACCTTGCAGGACAGACTGGAGCCAGACAATGATGATGGGCAGGCCCACAGATTGGCCAGGACTTAGTGACACAGACCCTTTGCCAGGCATCAATGCTTCATGCCTTTTGCCCTGTATGTGAGTGCTCTTTCTGCACGTACACCTGCACACCAGAAGTGGGCATCAGATCCCAGTATAGATGGTTGGGAGCCATGATGTGGGTGCTGGGAATTGAACACAGAACCTCTGGGAAGAGCAGCCAGTGCTCTTAACTGCTGAGCCATCTCTCCAACCCCTCTTTCCTCTTTAGTTGGTTTATTGAGCACCATCTTTGGTGCTAATCCTCCTGTCTCAGGTGCCAAGTGCTGCAAAGACAGAGTCTTACTCTGTAGCCCAGGCTGGCCTTGAACTGGCAGCAATCCTTCTGTCTCAGCCCACAGTATTGGAATTTCAGGTGTGCACTGCCACACCCAGCCTAGGATACTCACAGCCTGTCTCTTCCGTCTTTGTGGAACTCGGACTGTGGCTGGCATGGACTTGGGAGGCTGAGCTGAAGGAAAGGGCACCTCACACAGCAGGCACTCAGATAACGATGGCTCCTCACAGCTAAGAGGCCAGAGCCAACTGCCATTCAGCACACATCATGTTCATACAGGTGCTGAGCTGGGTGAGGGAAACACCAAGTTAGGAATTTCATGAGAGACTTAAAGCTTCCAGAAGGGGTTAGGCTCCATTGCAGAGCACCAGCCTAGCATGCAGCTCCTCAGTTTCAGCCCATCGCAGCAGGGGCTGGGAGAAGCCCCTCCACAACCCCTGGAGAACCCACCACTATCACAACACATTTCCCCGCTCCCTTTGACAGGAGTTATACTGCATCCCAAGAAATAGAGCACCAAGTCTACCATCCTCACTCAGCAGTCTTTGATTTTCACAAGTTCCACCTATCCTTACAGTCTCTCTCCTCCTCTTCAAAAATAAAAACAGAAGAGTGCTGGGCATGGTAGCACACTTTTAATCCCACTGCTGAGAAGGCAGGAGGATCTCTGTGAGTTCGAGGCCAGCCTGGTGAGCCTTACAAGTGAGGCCAGAACAGCCAGGGCCACATAGTGAGACTCTGCCTTGAAAAACAAAACAATAACACAATGTTTCAAACATATCTGAAACAACAAACCACTTTTGATAAATTAAGAAGCATTTGCTACTACAAAAAAATAGATCCCAAACCTATAGCCATGTAAGAAAATAGAAAATCAATGTCAAGTGAAGTCCCAAAGCATGGCCCTGATTCATAGTGACACGAGGAACCAGGCCTTTCGCTCTGAGACGCCACTGTCTCACAGGTAGGTTTTTCTCATGAGAACCTGGCGTCGTGCTAGGCAGGTGCTCTACCACCAAGCTAATCTCCAGCTCTTTTCCCTTTTCTATTTGCAGTCTCACTAAGTTGCCCAGGCTGGACTTGACACCCTCTGCAGCCCAGTCAGGCTCTGAACTTGTGAGCCCTCTGCCTCAGTCTCCCAATAGCCAGAATTACAGGCCTGGCTAATACATGGTTTCAAAGGTCACTGAGCTTAAGGTCATCTGTAGCAATTCCGGAAGCAAAACTATGAAAAATGTCCCTCGAAATGTGTTGTTGTTTTTTTTTTTTTTTTTTTAATTTTTAAAAGAGGTTTTTGTTTACTACTTATGTGTATGGGTATTTTGTCTGCGTGTGTGCTTGTGTACCACGTGAGTCCCTGGCACCCTGGGAAGCCGGAAGAAGAAATCGGATCCCCTTGGGCCTGGAGTTGCAGACAGCTGTTAGCTACCATGTTGGTGCCTGGTGCCGGGAAAGGAACCCCTGTCTTCTGGAAAGGAACCCCTGTCCTCTTAATCCCTCAGTCACCTCCCCAGCACCCTTGTTTTTGCTTTTTGTTTGTTTGTTGTTTTGTTTGACATGGTTTCTCTGTATAGCCCTGGCTGTCCTGGACTCACTTTGTAGACCCGGCTGGCCTCGAACTCACAGAGATCCTCCTGCCTCTGCCTCCCTGAGTGCTGGAATTACAGGTGTGTGCCACTATCACCTGGCTGTTCCCCCTTGTTTGTTATTTTAAACAATTATTCTTAGTTTATGTGTCCGACTGTTTTGCCTCACTTATGTCTGCACATCGTGTGTGTGCTGGAGCCTACAGAGGTCAGAAGAGGGCGTCAGGGCCCGACAACTATTGTTTCAGGCAGTTGTGAGCAGTCATGTGGTTGCTGGAAATAGAACCTGGGTCCTCCGGAAGGACAGCGAGTGCTCTTAACTACTGAGGCATTTCCAGGCCATATTTAAATTTTTATTTGTTTGGGTTTTTTTAAATTAATTTATTTTTTAAAAAAATAGGGGGTGTAACGTGGAGGCAGAGGATGACTCTCAGCACCTCTCTCAAAGTCTCTGCTATGCTAGCTGACCTGTAGGGCCAGAGCAGTTCTCTGTGTCCACCCACCATCTTGACACAGAGATGCTGAGGTGTAGCTGCATGCCCCCTCCTCCTGTTTTCCAAACAGCTCTGAGGACTGTGCCCAGATCCTTAGGCCTGTTTGACAAGTGCTTTAGCCTGACGAGCCGTCTTGCCAGCCCTGTTCTGTTCTGTTCTGTTCTGTTCTGTTCTGTTCTGTTGAGATGGGGTCTCCTATCACTAAAACTGGCTCCCTGGCTGAGTATGTAGCTAAGGATGACCTTGAATGCTTGACGGTCCTGCCTCTACTACCAAGCTGATTGTGGCCGTGTGCCGCCGTGCTCCATTGTTTGCGGTGCTGGGAGCAAACCTTTGCTCACACATTGTGTGTGTGTGTTGTTGTTAATTTGAAACTAATATGCTATTTGAGTACCTGTCTAGGCTCTGATGACCTTCACCCAGCCCCATTTCTGAATCTTGGCTTCATCCTAGAGTAAGCCTTTTCTTCCTGGTCCCCATCTTGACAAACTAACCGAATCAAATATATTCTTTGGTATCTGTATTTATTCTTTCAGTGGGATCCATGGAACATAGAACCGACACATACTTGCTGAATGATGCTGCTTCCCCTTGCCTCGTGCCTTCGCTGAGCACATAAAAGCTCAGTGAATATTTATCCCCTGACTAACAGCGCTGCTCCTCACAACAGAATTTAAACCACATTAATACTGTGTGCTGACTGCTGAAACTTGAACCCTGATTCTACACTTACTTAATAACCGAGTGAGTTATTCAGCTGTCTGTGTCTCACTCTCATCGTATGTAAAATGACGATGATAATAGGGCCTGCATCATATGGCTGTCTAAACACACTGGACACACCCCAAACATGCAGTTGTTATTTTTAGCGCTACCTCGGACTGAGATTTTACAGACTTTCATTCTGATGGAAGACAAAAATTAACATCTGAGACTCCAGTCTTAGAACACCCTTCCCTCTCAGCTCAGCCGAGGGCCTTGAGCCATCTCCCCACCTAGCAGCTTGTGCCCTAACTCATAAATCCTGACTCATGACACAGACATGTCACCTTAATGCTTGTGCAGCCCAGTGACTTAATGCTTGGAGATCTTCAAATGAAAGGCACCCAAGGACAGCACCGAATACACTATTGAGTCTTAAAAGGGGGGGAAATGGGAAAGGCAGAGGTACCAGAACCTACTATTGCAGCAGATAATTAAACAGGCACCTAGGAAGGAGACAGCCATCCTTAAAATGTAACTTATTTATTTATTTGTGAGGCAGGGTCTCCTGTGTAGCCCACATCAGCATCGAAATTTCCAGGGTTCCCCCAGCTTCTTCAGTTGCTAGGATTGCAGGTGTGTGCCTCTACACCTCACCTAATCCTTTAATATAGAGACAGGGAAGATAAGTTTGGCCTCTTCCAGGGTTGAAGGCGGCCCACAGTGGTGGGAACCGGCCAAGTCCTTAAGTGACTGTGGTTGTGAGAATCATGGGAATCTTTCACCTGTTCTAAATAAAACACACAGCAACCACTTGTATTGTTACTCTAATTAATTTAAGCCACTTAAAAGGCTTGGGCAAACAAGCCTCTCTAAGCAGCTTGTTTGTGAGCTGCGCAAGTCCTGTATTAAGCCATGCTCCCTTTTCAACTGCGTGCTTCTCATTCCACAGCTCCTGGCCACCACCTGGGGCCGTGCACCTCTTCCTGGACCCAGAAGCTACCCCAGGATTCGCGCGTGCTTGTGTGTGAATATTACCAGACTCCCTGGCACAGAAATCTTCTCAAGATGGAACAAAATGGTAAGATGTGACACTTTTACAAGACCTAAAAATAAGCAAGCTAAAAATAACCAGTACCACCACGGTGAGTTCCCATCCCCAACATGGTGACCGGCCGGGTTGTAGCCCATAGCCTGGAACCAGCCTGGCAGAGTTCCACAGTTTCATAACCTTGACACGACAGGGTTCCTTAAACAAGTTTCTTTTTTTGTATATGGACATAACACTACGACCTATCTTGTAAAAGAGAACAAGAAGGCTGTGCTGGAAGCTTTCCGCCCCGATGAAAACAGCTGTGCAGAACGCGTTAAAGCCGTCAACCCTCCCACTAAGCACGCTACTAACCGGCAACCATCGCCGGACTAGATCAGCTGGGCCTTAGTTGAGGAATCATGGGCCGTGAAGTCCTTTGGTAGCCACACCCTCCTGGACTGCCAGGGAAGTGAGAACTACATCTCCCAGGATGCCACACTGAGCCCACCACCGCCACCGCCCTCTTCCCCGCCCCTGGCGCATAGCTTCCTGGGATATGTAGTTCTGGAGGCAGAAAACTGGGCGGTGTCAGGTCAGAGAAGAACCACACGCCCCAGAAGCGCTCGCGTCACTCTTCCCCTCCCCTCCGGTAGTCGGAGTGCTGTTTTTGTTGGTGGTGAAAGGTGAGGGGAACAGCTGATCCGTCTGTGGGGTAAGAAACTTGGCCTAACTGAGGGTGGGCTTGCGCGGGGTCGTCAGCCGGCTTCTCAGCCTGCGAAAGGCTAGTCCGTGAGAACTGTGAAAGGGGCCGGCAGGACCGTTTAGGTTTTAATACCTTACGCACCGAAGAAGCCACCCCCACGTTTCGGGTGTTGTTGCTTTCAAGGGGGGCCCTGCGGGTAGCCCCCGTATCGTCCTCGCTTTCTTGCGAGGCCTTCTCTGTAAAGCTCGATCCGCTTATGAAAACTTGAAGGGACTGAGATGTTTGCTTAATCTTTTCTAGGCAGTTCTTTGCCTTCATAGACCTTCTTCCCTGTCTCACCCAAATCCAAAGATCCAAAGGCCTTTACCACGCTGAATCCCTGAGGGGAAAACTTCCAACTTGTGGAATGCCAAAACCTAAGAGCCCTACAGTGAGAGGACACACACACACACACACACACACACACACACACACACACTCACACTCCTCACACGGCAGTTGAACACGGTGTCTGACCACATACACTTTAGGTGCAGGACTTTCCGTCGTGGAGAATGTTTGCAGCTGTTACGGATTTTCTTTGTGGGGAAGGAGGGATGGGGGGTGCGGTTCTTGCCTGTCGAACTTTGGAGACGGTTTACCCTCCCTCTACCCTCAGAAGAGTTGTAAGAAAAGATGGAGTAAATGTGATGAGGGATTTGTCAGAGATTAAAAAAAATTACATTGGAATAGCTCAGTCCAGTCTCTTTTCAAGGAAAAAACTGTTCCCTTTGCATCGCTGGCCCACCTTTTCCGTCTCCACGGAGTGTCTAATTTCTTTTAAAGTTCCTCCCACACCGTCTTAGCCTGGTGTGGGTTTGTGATGTTTGGGGGCGTGCACATGATTAGTGGTGATGGCTGATTGGACAGGTCGGCTGCAGCTGACACAGGAGGCAGATTTGTGGGCTGAAGAGGCTGCCTCAGAGCCTTCCACTGAAGCCTACTTCATTTTTATTTTCTAAGTTAACAATGAGATCCATTATGACATTTTTAAACATGTACATCATTCTTTGTACTCATTTATCTCTTAGTACTACTATGTTTTAATTTCAGTGTGTGTGTGTGTGTGTGTGTGTGTGTGTGTGTGTTTCTGTGTACAGAAGAGGATGACTTGGAGAAGTCAGTTTTTTCCTCTCACCATGTGAGTCCTGGTGGTTGAACTCAAGTTGTCAGGTTTTGTGGCAAGCACTTTACCCACCCAGCTTTCCCACCCGCCCCAATCCTGTACTTTTTTTTTTTTTTGGCTGTTCTGGACTCCCTTTGTAAACCAGGCTGGTCTTGAACTCACAGAGATCCACCTGCCTCTGCCTCCTGAGCGCTGGCATACAGACGCGTGCCATGGAGCCCGGCTGTCCTGTACTCTTAATTGTTATTACCTAGTCTCACCTACCCTGTGTGTCCCAGTTAACTCTCCCTAGCTGACTGAAAACATCCCTTCCAACTCTATCCTATCTGTGTACTCCTGCCACTACCACAAGCATGCGGCAGGATTTAGACACTTAACATTGTGTCCAAGCGGAGTGAGGAGGGGCTGCTAGAGCTGTGTCAGCGCTGAGACAGACCATTAGCTTTCTAGCTCTGCTCAGGGCAAGGTGTGCAAAAAGGAAGGCTCCTTGTTGACCGATCTGCCTCTTCTCAACCTTGAATGTTCGTTTTCCTTCTCAGGGCCCCTTACTTACTCTGTTTCCAGCCTGCCCCCTGCCTCAGGGTACGGCTTTCCTGGCTCCAGGCCCCACATTCCATCTCCCTCACACCACTACCTTCCTGCTGAATAATTCACTCCACCCTGGAACTGCCACCTCCAGAATTTTTAACTTCCTAGAATAGAAGTTGAGGGACAGAACCTGTCTTTCCTATCATCCTCCCCTTCTCTCGCTCTTGGAGGAAACAAAGCTTTCTTCTGCTTTCTTAGAGGTGATCAGGATAGATAAGTCACAGACAGGTGTGCTGAGAGCAGAGAACCATATTCTCTGAAGACTCTTCATCATCAGAGATTAGCTATTGTTTTGGGAGTCTTACCTGGGAACAGTAAGGTCAGCAAGCTTAGGCGTATGTAAAAGCTCAGACTGAGAGGGGCCCACACTTTAGCTGGATTTTGAATTCCAGAGCCAGAAGGTACAGAGGATTGCATTGGGAAACCAAGAGAATGTGGACTTCCCAAGGATGTTGAGAGATGAAAAGGAGAGACCGAGAGGTGCAGAGCCTAAGACTTGGTTAGTGGGGCAGTGGAGGGCCAGACATCAGACAAGTGAGGGCACGACATAACAGGGAGGGAGGCTGGCGTGGAGGGCCAGGCCTGTGCACACAGCTGGGGGAGGAAGCAGAGGGGAAGACTTAGCCCTGCCAACCCTTTCTTTCACAGGACAGCAGGCATCTTGACAGAATGGAAGAGTCGTCACTGTGCCGGGCACCGTCCCGAGGTGGGGTCAACTTCCTGAATGTGGCCCGGACGTACATCCCCAACACCAAGGTGGAATGTCACTACACTCTGCCTCCAGGCACCATGCCCAGTGCCAGCGACTGGATTGGCATTTTCAAGGTATCACTGGACCCTGTTCTGACTCAGGCTTATGGGACACAGGTTGGCTAGAATATGAGTGGTGACTAGGTCCTTAGATTCTCAGGTTGATAGGGAGAAAGATGACACACATGCCAGAGGCCATGGATATAAAGGTCATCTATAGGGGGCTGGAGAGATGGCTCAGCGGTTAAGAGCACTGGCTGCTCTTCCAGAGGACCCCCGCATGGCAGCTCACACCTGTCTAACTGCAGTGCCAGGGACTCCAATACCTCACAGAGACATATACAAGATACCAATGCACATAAAATAAAAAGAAACCATTTTAACCAGGCATGGTGGCACATGCCTGTGTTCCCAGCACTCAGGGAAGCAGAGGCAGGTGGATTGTTGTGAGTTCAAGGCTAGCCTGTCTACAAAGCAAGTCCAGGACAGCCAGGGCTACACAGAGAAACCCAAAAAACAAAACATAAAGGTCATCTCTCTTAGCCATTCTCTCTCCTGATAGTATAGTGTCCTCTGACTTTACCTGACTCTTAGCATCCTTGGTACCATTCGCTCAGTCCTGTTGACCCTTCCACCCTTCCATCACTCACTCCATCACTTCCATCACTCTTCTATCATCGTACCTTTGTCTTTCAGGTGGAGGCTGCTTGTATTCGGGATTATCACACATTTGTATGGTCTTCAGTGCCAGAAAGTACAACTGACAGTTCTCCCACACATGCCAGTGTTCAATTCCAAGGTATAAAGACCGGTGGGGAACTGGGATGGGGGAAGCAAGGAAGTGGGGGAGGGGGGAGTGCTGGGCTGACAGGCATACGGAGCACAGAGGAAAAGGAAATATGAATGCGTGTAACTTTTCATCGCTGGGCCTAATGGTACTCCAGTGTCCCAGACACTTCAGAGGCGGGGGCCGAAAGATGACTTGAATCCCGGATACTAGAGCTGGCCTGGGCAGCATGCCAGACCCCGTCTCCAAGGAAGAAAAACGCTTATGGGCTGTGTCCAACAGGGTTCAAGTCACCAAAGGGTTAGCCTCCTCAGGGGCTTAGAGGAAGCTGTAGAAAGATGGGTTTTGAGGACGTTAATCTCACCTGTTTACCCAAAAAAAGAGAAGCTCCCATATGGGACAAGGAAAAGTGTGTGATAACATCAGAAAAGTTGGTCATAGCAGTCTAAAAGACCTGGGTTCAAATCTCGGTTCCGTGCTTTACAGGCTATTTGGCATTGAGCAGGTGAGCTAAAATAGGGCTTGTAGGAGTTCCACAGGGGTTTAAAATGGTCTGGGGACACTGGCCGTGCACTGTGTGGTCCACATCGGCACTTAGAAGGTGGCAGCTAGACGCTGCGTGAGGAGGAGGCAGTGAGCGTCTAAAGGTGGGTAGGCAGGAAGGGGTAGGAAGCATATCCCAAGGACCAGCCACAGGGGCCTGGATAGCAGGTAGCATGGTACCACTTTCCTCCCCTGCTGGCACTGAGGAGCCAGAGGTCATCCTGGGTTCTGGGCTATTCTTCCCACAGCCAGCTACCTGCCCAAACCAGGAGCCCAACTCTACCAGTTCCGCTATGTGAGCCGCCAGGGCCGGGTATGTGGGCAGAGCCCCCCTTTCCAGTTCCGAGAGCCAAGGCCCATGGATGAGCTCGTGATGCTGGAGGAAGCTGACGGGGGCTCTGATATCCTGCTAGTGGTCCCTAAGGCCACTGTGCTTCAGGTAAGACGGCCACAGCAGACTCTTTCCTGGGCTGGGGGTGCCAAGGACAGCTTTGCAAGGACCCTTCTTGCTCTGTGCTCCCTCTGTCAACTGAACTGAGCACTTCACTGGGAGATACCGAAGGTCTGCTCTCAAGAAACTCAGCCTCCCGCAGACACAGACTCACAGGACAGGAAAGCGTCCTCATGGGCCAGTGCAGCTGAGGGTTCTAGACCTGAGCCAGCCTGCTCACAGGGCCACTGCCTGCCCTGAGTCCCACAAGAGACCCATAGGGTACAGGGGAACTGCCCCAGGGAACACAGGGAGGTCGGGACGCTGAGACCCGCCCCTACCAGGTGCGTCAGGGCACGGGACCATCCAGAGGTGCTGACCACATACGGCTTTTCGGCACGTCAGGTGTGACTAATCCAATTGAAGCATAGTCACAGGTCAAATAACACACTGGATTTTGAACACTTAGTATGTTAACATTTGCTTATTTACATATGTGTTTCTGGGTATGTGTGTATGCGCATATGTGAGTGCGCACGCGCATATGTGAGTGCGCACGTGCCATAACACAGGTAGAGGTCAGACATTGACTTGTGGAGTAGGCTCTCTCCTCTGCTGTGTGGCTCCAAGGGTGGAGCTCAGGTTTCCAGGCTTGGCAACAAGTACCTTCATCTGGTGAGCCATCTTGCTGACCCAGCCGTGGTGCTCTGAACTGCCATCCCTCAATACCTTTGGCAGCCCAGGTGTGCGCACGTACATGTGGACGCAGAGGCCAGCAGGGAGTGTCGTAGAATGCTCTGGAGCTGGCATTATGGTGGTTGGGAAACCCTTGGTGTAGCTGCAGTACCTAAACCCTGGCCCTCTCCCGGAGCTGCAAGCACGCTCTCCAGCCCTCAGAGCTTTCTTATTAAAATGGGTACTAGAAAACATAAACTCAAAAATGTGCCTTACATAAATATTTCCACTGGGCCAGAGAAGGGCCCTAAGACTGAAGGCAGATACTGGAAAGGTGAGGGATAGGTGGGAGAAAAGCTGCTCAGCAGCTGGGAGTTCACAGCTGCTCAGTGACTTGGCAAACCCCTGCCTTCTGGAAGGCAGATCTATAAATACGTGAATCAACAGGACGACGTTTATACCTAAGAGAGAAGTAAGACAGGCCACTGCTAGGTGCTCTGTTTCACCTTGATTATGCTCAGTTAGCCTCAGGGATGAAGAGTTCAGGGGTTCGGCTAGTAAAGCTGCATTGCAGACTTACCCAACTCTGTCTGACTCCATAAGAAAGGGTAAACGGAGAGGAACCCTCTGTCACTGCCCTGTCAGAGGGAGGTGCCAGGCCTGGGCTGGAAGGTAATCAAGGGCTGACAGTTAAGCAAGATCCACAGCTGGGCCATGACGACTCGATTTCTCCACCCCAAGATGCCTCTGGCATGGTGCCTCACAAATACCCCCGTCTCCTGCCCGTGTAGAGCCAGCTGGATGAGAGCCAGCAGGAGCGGAATGACCTGATGCGGGTGAAGCTGCAGCTGGAGGCTCAGGTGGCAGAGCTGAGGCGCCGAGTGCAGGAGCTGGAGGCAGCTCTGGCCGCTGCCAGGCAGGAGCATTCGACGCTCACAGAGCAGTACAAGGTGCGAGTTGGGGCTGGTGGGGAATGAGGCCCACACCCAGCAAAGAACAGGGAGGAAAGATGTCAGTGGAGTTTTAAGATGATCCTCGCAGCAAAGAAATGGGCTTACGATAACAAGCGAGACAAAACTCTGTGAGAAGAGGTGCGTCTGCAGTTTGTAGTAAGACTCAGTTCTTTGAGCCTAGGAACACTGGCCTCTGCCATCTTCCCAGGTAACAGTATCTCCACTCAGTTTTTTCAAGGAAGGTGGCAGGACAGAGGTGGGGTCATATAATGTTAAGCCTGAGTCTGCCCTCACCTTCCATCTTCCTTGGCAAAACTTAATCCCAGGGCCTCTCCCGGTCCCATGGAGAGCTGACAGGAGAGAGGGACGTCCTGAGCCAGCGGCAGGGAGAGCATGTGGCCCGCATCCTGGAGTTAGAGGATGACATCCAGACCATCAGTGACAGAGTGCTGAAGAAGGAGGTGGAGCTGGACAGGTATGGCACCTCACCCCAGGGCTGAGGCCTCCACCCCCCTTCCCTGTGTCAGGTGACCACACCCCAGCCACTGTGGCCCGCCACAGTCTCTCATGGCGTATTCTCGTCACTCGGAGTTTCCTTCTGCTGCCTTTATACATCCGCCAACGCTGTTCTGTGTCCCTCGCCTTCGAAGGGCTCAGTTGCCGTTCACTGAGCAGCAGAAGCTAAGCAGAATCAGAGAGGGGATATTTAGAAAAGATTGGATAGAATGGTCAATACAAGACAAAAAGATTGAGTTCAGACTTCACTTTTCTTTACTGCAAGCTGTGTCATCACATGTATATACGCAGCCTGTGTGCAGCACATCCATATCCGCTCCCAGCTACTGGGGCAACTGAGACATGATCCTAACTTCAGTCCAGCCAGGAAGACATAGCCGGACTCCATAACGTATAGTTATAGGGACAAGGATGTGTTAATGTGTGTTAAATAAATAAATGGCATCGTTAAAGCACAGGAAAAGAATTAGATTCTGTTCTTGCTATCGGAAATGCTCAATGTCACAGCACAGTGATAGGAGCAGCTTTTGAGTGTATGCAAGGCCCTGGCTTCAGACCCAGCACTATAAAAACAAGAGAGATGTTGGAGCTGGTGCCCCAAGAATATAAGAAAATCTGTCCCCTGAAAACAGGTATAAATTACAGAATCTTTTCTGTTTGTTTGGTTTTGGTTGAAACAGAGTCTTACTATGTAACTCCAGCTGTCCTGGACCTCACTATGTAGACCAGGCTGGTCTCCAGCTCACAGAGATCTTGCTGTCTTTGCTAACCAAATGTTGGGATTAAAGGCACACACCACCATGCCTGGCTAAATCAAAGAATCTTAACGTCAAGAGTAACATAGGGTATATGAGAGAGAGCAGCTCTCAGGCCAGCCTCTTTAAACAGCTATCACTTCATGTCTATTGTACAGAGCCAAGCTCTGCTTAATGGAAGGGAAAAACAAGATCACCAGTCATACCAGCCTGGGCTACATAGTATGTTATGGAGCAGCCTGGACTACAACATGAGTTATGGAGCAGCCTGGGCTGTGTAAAAAGTTCCTGTTCTTTTGTTTATTTGTTTGTTTTGTTTTGTTTTTCAAGACAGGGTTTCTCTTTGTAGCCCTGGCTGTCCCGGACTCCCTTTGTAAACCACACTGGCCTCAAACTCACAGCAATCCTCCTGCCTCTGCCACCCCAGAGTATCGGGACTAAAGTTGTGCACCACCACACTCGGCAAAAGTCCATGTTCTTAAAAAGGGACAGAGGGGAAAACACAGTAATCAGAGTTATTTCTGTCAAGCCGCGTAAGTACTGATCAACACCCATGCCTGTCCTGCAGAGCCTTTACCAAGTTCAATACTCCAGTTCTTTTGTTCATCAAAGAACATTATTAGGTTACTTTAATTCATCATTGGTAAATATTAAAACAACAAGAACAAAACTTTCTGTAAAGGGAAGAGAAGTTCTGCCCAAGTCTTGGGCAGTACGTGAAGCAGTTCAGGAGGTTGCTTACTGACCTAACCCGAGGTCAGGACAAGACATCAGTGTTCCTCAAGGCATCCAGACTGGGAGCCCACAGACCACGCCTCGTCAGCCTACCACTTGTTCTTTCATTGGCTGATACTCAGAAGATTATTCTGTGATGATGGCAATGGTCAGCGTTCATTCCGTATGGTTTTCTCGGGCTCCGCGCAGACCCTGCACACGTTTGCCTGTGGCCTCCTGCATCTGCCACTTCCTGACCTACAGCGAGCTCAGTGGTGGCTGCCCACAGGCACTGAGAGATCGAATTTTCATCTCGTAATCAAGTGGAAGCTGGAAGCTCTGCGATAACAGCCTGTGTGTTACAGAAAGAGGAAAGCCTGGACCACACCTTTACTCCCAGCACTCGGGAGGCAGAGGCAGGTGGATCTCTGAGTTCAAGGTCAGCCTGGTCTACAGAGTGAGTTGCAGGACAGCCAGGGCTACACAGAGAAGCCTGTCTCAAAAAAAATAATAATAATAAATAAAATAACAACTGTCGTCCGGTATTGACAGGGTCAGGGACACAGTGAAGGCCTTAACGCGGGAACAAGAGAAGCTCGTGGGGCAGCTGAAGGAGGCCCAGGCAGACAGGGAGCAGAGCGAGGTAAGACACACGGGGGTTTGCGGTTCGCTTCCTCAGTGCCGCTGGTGTTCATCCTGAACACTGGCACAGAGGGCATACGTGGAGAGGAGGCCCCAGGTGCTGTACCCTCCTCAGCACAGCGCCTGCCCACATCACAACAGAGCTGCACCTAGTACAGGGTTCCAGGGAGGTGGGCGCGGGCGCATTCCATTAGAAACAGCTGTTACGCACACTTCTACTGCTGGCCAGACAGCCGAGCCCATCAGCCAGCAGAGAGCAATTGAGGACACTCACGGTCAACGTCTGGTCCACGAGGGCTTGTGTGTGTGTGCGCGTGCGCACACACATGCACATACACACATGCACATACTCACACACAGGCTCATCCTCACGCGCGTGCGCGCACACACATACATACTCACACACACACGCTATCAAAGGCTATCAAAAGGGCAGTGTAAGGGACAGGCATGATGACAGGCTCGCCATTCTGTCCTAGCACTCAAGAGGCTGGGCGGAAGGAATGTGAGTTCAAGGCAGCCTAGACTGTTGGAGGTAGGAAAGAAGAAATTCAGACTCTGAACACCTTGCAGATACAAGCTGGTAAAGGATAATAGTTTTTAAACTGTCAGCAGTTTACTCTTCTGACAATTTGATAGAACAAATTGATAGAACAAAATTTGATAGAACAAAAATTTTCTGGGGGGTCCCAAAGACTGAGTTAACCTGAAAGCACACATCAATGGATTGGTGCTCTCCAGTGTGTCCTTGTGCATGCTGAGGCGCTTTTAAAAGTAATTTTTAACAATTTAGAACAAGTGTAGAGCTGAGACTGTAGTTGATTCAGTGTTGAGCAGGTAAAAAATAAAATACTTTCAAAACCAGAACCCTGGGCCTCTCTCTAACTTTGGTTTGATAGTACTGTAATTCCAGAACTGGAGAAGCTGAGGCAGGAAGATTGCCACTGGTTCTAGGTATCCTGGGCTACATGGCATGACCCTGTCTTCAAAATACAAAATAACACAAACAAAACTGTGGGCTCAGTTAGGCAGAACAAAGAAAGGTGCAAGGGCACATGCGCGGGCAGCTTGAAGCGCTGTGCAGCACTTTTCGGAGCTCTAGCCTGGAACCTTTCTCTTTAAGCGGTGAGAAGCGCCGGGGAGTTCAGGTGGGGCTGCATAGCTGCACTGAGAGCACTTGGGAGATAGAGGCAGGCACATCTCTGTGAGTTCAAGGACAACAGACAGCCAGGGCTACACAGAGAGACCCTGCCTGGAAAAACAAACCAACAAAAACTTGCATTGAACAGCACTTTGCCTGTTAGAAAATAGCTAGTTACAGCACTGTTCAGGCATCCCACAAGAACAGCCACGTGGGCTAAGCCACGGCTCAGCTGCTAAGAGCATTGACTGCTTCCAGAGGACCCGGGTTCAAACCCCAGCAACAGCAGACAGGAATGACCTGAGCCTCAGGAGAGGTAGCATTCACCTGTAATCAGCATGCAGGTGCCAGAGAGGGAGGAAGAGTGCGTGTCCAGGGCCGGTCTGGACCAGATGGTATGAGCCTATGCAGGGAGGGAGAAGGGAGACTGAGTCAGAGGAAGGGAGAGGTCTGGGTGAGGCACAGTATTCTGAGTGTGCAGGGCCGGATGGGATAGGTAGGATAGCAGAGTGGGGTGCCAAAGTATAAGACCCCAGACTGTGAGTGAGGCCTCCGAGCCCAAGACCAACAAGGGAGGGCAGGTGCGGGGTGCTTCACTCGTGTTGCCTGAGTGACAGGCTTCCGCCACAGAGGGCAGGAAGGCAGCCTGCCTGGGCTGCCCCAACACTCATCCCGCCCTGGTCCTCACCCGCTTTCCATTCCATCAGGCCGAGCTACAAATGGCCCAAGAGGAGAACCGCCGCTTAAATCTCGAGCTGCAGGAGGCTAAGAGCCGGCAAGAAGAGCAGGGTGCTCAGGTCCAGCGACTGAAGGACAAGGTGGCCCACATGAAGGACACCCTGGGCCAGGCCCAGCAGAAAGCGGTGAGTGAAGGCCTGTGGGAGCATTCCAAGTAGTCCAAACACGTTTGGGGGTCCAGAGAACAGAGCCCCGAAGAGAGGGCTCCCTCCTTCACAGGTGGTTACCTGAGGGAGCTAATCTTGGTCCTTTTTCTCCGGAGGCTGAGCTGGAGCCCCTGAAAGAGCAGCTCCGAGGGGTCCAGGAACTTGCTGCCTCAAGCCAACAGAAAGCTGCCCTTCTTGGGGAGGAGCTGGCCAGTGCAGCGGGAGCCAGAGACCGAACCATCGCAGAGCTGCACCGCAGCCGCCTGGAAGTGGCTGAAGTCAGCGGCCGGCTGGCGGAGCTCAGCCTGCATGTGAAGGAGGAAAAGTGCCAGTGGAGCAAGGAGCGGGCAGGGCTGCTGCAGAGCATGGAGGTAGAGGGGCCCTTGCCTACCTTGGACTCCACCCTGTCCTGGGCGCTCTGGGAGGAGGGAGGAGCCGGTGGAATCCTTGGAGGTACTCTTCACTTTGCAGGTGTGAGCCACTAACACAGAGTCCCAGTCCTGCTCAGTGGAATCCCTTCCCTAGTTTGCATGCTTGGGACAGGAGCGTGTGCCGTCATGGCGCTGCCCTTGCCATGTGCCCATTTCTGCTTCCAGGGGATCAGAAGGGAGGAAAGTGCTCAGAAACAGTTTAAGCCCCTAGACATATAAGGGACCCAGCGAGGGCAATGCTATTTCACGGGCATCCCTTGCTACTTCACCTCCCTCCTGTCTTCCTTTGTGCCCTGTCTAGGCCGAGAAGGATAAGATCCTGAAGCTGAGTGCAGAGATCCTCCAGCTGGAGAAGACAGTACAGGAGGAGAGGAGCCAGAGCCATGTATTCAAGACAGAGCTGGCCCGAGAAAAGGATTCTAGCCTGGTGAGGTGCCCTGCCACCGTGGGTTCAAGTCTGGGTCCTGGTGTGTAAGGCCCTGCCTGTGTCTCTTGCTCTGAAATACTGCGCACTGCCTTGCACGCCTCCCAGTCCTCCTGGTTGGAATGTCCACACCCCTTTCTGCTCACAGAGTACATGTCTGGGCCTGGGGGATGACACAGGTGCCTCCCCGTAGCATGAGGCCTGGGGCCCATTTAAGAGGAGAGTCCAGGACTTTGGCCTGAGCCCTGGGGGCCAAGACAGGGCCTTGTGGAAGAACCAAAAGAGGATATAGCTTAACTTTTGGACCAGGTCTTTGGTGGCACATTGTGAGTTCTGGGTTCCATGACATTTTCCCCTCAGGTGCAGTTGTCAGAAAGTAAACGAGAGCTGACAGAGCTGCGGTCAGCCCTCCGGGTGCTTCAGAAGGAAAAAGAGCAGCTGCAGGCAGAGAAACAGGTGAGTGGCCCCTGTGTTCAGCTGGGATGCCACAGTGCTCAAAATTCTCTGTCACCGTGGTACTCTCTCAGCTCAGAAACTAGAATTTCTTTGAGAGCACAAGGCTGAAAAGGGGCCCTGACTCCTCTCAGAAACTGACCTGAAGCAGGAGAGGGACCCACAAGGGGAAGCAGGTGGGGTAGTGGAGAGCTCCCAGTTCAGGAGATCTGGCCCACGTGAAAGCATCTGTCCTCTGGGGGTGAGAAAGGCCCAGGAAGCAGCAGAAGGCACCCTGCAGGCTTCAGCCTTTTGCTTCCCCACCCCCAGGAACTGCTGGAGTACATGAGGAAACTGGAGGCCCGGCTGGAGAAGGTGGCAGATGAGAAGTGGAACGAGGACGCTGCCACAGAGGATGAGGAGGCCACTGCTGGGCTGAGTCCGTGCACCCCTATCCCATGACACCCTCCCCCGCCCCCAGCTCTGAGAAAAGCTCCAAGCGATGCCCTTGGGAGCAGCCTGGCCTGCCCTTCCGTTCCCAGCCCACTGCAGTCTTCCTGCTCACATCCCTGTGGCTGACCTCTCCCCTCTACCTGCCTTCCTCCCACAGGCTGCCCCGCGGCCCTGACAGACTCGGAGGATGAGTCCCCAGAGGACATGAGGCTTGCCTCCTATGGCTTGTGTGAGCGTGGAGACACAAGCCCCTCTCCTGCGCTCCGGGAGGCCTCTTCCCTTGTTGTCATCAGCCAGCCAGCACCCATTGCTCCCCACCTCTCAGGGCCGGGGGAAGCCAGCAGCTCTGACTCCGTGAGTAGTGAGAGCCCGTGGGCACGCGTGTGGAGTCATACGCAGTGGGGACAGAAAGCCTGGACTATACAGGACTCTTGCTCTGGCCTGGAGGAGGCAGGCCTAGCCTTTCTTCAAGACTGCTAACAGGGCTAGGCATGGTAGTGCAGGCCTTCAAACCCTGGGCCTTCAAACCTTGAACTCTCAGACAGAGTTCAAGGCCAGGCTGGATAGCTCCAGGGCAGTCAAGACTATACAGTGAAGTCTCAAAAAAAAAAAAAAAAAAAAAAAAAAAAGACAGAATCACCAAAACCCAGGCCAGCTCAGCAACCTCAGTGCTCCCAGATTCCATCCTGTCCTCTCCCCACCAACCCTCCTCCTCCCCACCCGGACCACCGTGCCAATCCTCCCTGTCTCTTTGGTGCCAGGAAGCTGAAGACGAGAAGTCGGTCCTGATGGCAGCTGTGCAGAGTGGGGGTGAGGAAGCCAGCCTTCTGCTTCCTGAGCTGGGCAGCGCCTTCTACGACATGGCCAGGTGAGGGTGGCACGGGGGGGGGGGGGCAGTATGTGGGCAGCCGCCATGCCCTGCCCCAAGTCCCCCTTCTTGGCTCAGCCAAGAGGACAGGGTACCAGTGTGCCGGACAGGAGTGTCAGCTCCCTCCACAAATCCAGGTGGCTCTGCGTCCTCTCTCTCTCCCTGCCTTTGACTGGCTTCTGTGTTCTAGCATCATCTTCCATGGAGCTCAAATTGCCCTGCTTCCCCTCTCTCTTGCCCCTACCCCCTCCCCAAACACCAGGTAGGTACCTAGGGCTTCAGGGAGGAAGAAGGTGACCAAGGCCTGAGGGATGGGCACAGAGAGAAGGACCACCATCAGAGCATCTGTCTGCCTAAGCTGGAGATGCTCATTCTGACTTGCTAGGAAGTTGGGGAGGGGAACCTGGGGTGGGCAGGTATCAGCTGGTGCCTTCAGCCTGGCTCTCCTGCCCTGTTCAGCTGGGTGGGGCCTTGGGGAGAGCACCAGCCCCAGCTCCGCCTGGAGCGAGGGTTGGGCAGGAAAGGCCAGTGCTTGTCACCTCTTACTGCTGGAGCAGGAAGACGAAGAACTTGGTGTCAGCCTCATTTTCAGCCTCATTAGGCAGCAGCCATAGATGGGGGAGGTTGGGGGATGGGTGCTGCACTGCTGACAGCAGCAGGGGCTCAGGCAGAGGGGACTGGGCATCTGAAGAGCCGGGGGACAGTGTCACAGGCAGAACGACCAGGACGGCACAGGAGGGGCCTTGCTCCCTGAGGTCAGCAAGAAGGCAGCAGAGGCTGGGCATTGTGCCTGCAGCCGGAGCCCTTGGGAGGGAAACGTGGGAGAATCAGGGCTGCAGGGGTCTTCCTCTGCACAGAGCAAGTTGGAGGCCCTGTGTCAAAAATAAAAACAAAGACCCTCTCCATCTCTCCTCTCTCCTCAGTGGCTTTGCCGTGGGCTCCCTGTCGGAGGCCAGCTCTGGGGCCCCAGCCACCCCCCCATGGAAGGAGTGTCCCATCTGTAAGGAACGCTTCCCTGCGGAGAGTGACAAGGACGCCCTGGAGGGCCACATGGACGGACATTTCTTCTTCAGCACCCAGGACCCTTTCACCTTTGAGTGACCGCACTCTTCCCTATATGTAGACACACACACACACACAAACACACAGGCACACACACATATGCACGAGTACGCGCGCACACGCACACAGACACAGACATGCACGAGCTCGTGCACACACACACACACATACACACACACTCAGACATGTATGCACTTTGCTCTCATGCCTCTTTGTAATCACACTGGGCTCTGTAAATTCTGTCCCTGTAAACCAGGCCTGCATCCTGCTTTCTCCCAAGCTCATAACTGCAGTCACTGTCCTGCAGTCGCAGGTGGGGATCTGTGTTCAAAGCAGTGGCTGGGTTGACTCTTTGGAAACAGTTTGGAGGAGCCACGGTGGAGGAGGCTTGCCCTGTGAGAACAGAATTATTCATTGCTAGCCCAAGTGTGTGCGCGCACACACACACACACAAACACCCCACTCCCCTCTTTGCCCAAAGCCAACTCCTGGGGCACCCCACCCGCTTTTATTCAGTTTGTTTATTGAGTTTTCTCTGGGCCTGCATGGAGGCAGCAGCATGGCCTCTCAGCCTCACGGTCTCTCAGTTCTTGGCGACACCGGTTCTTCTGTTACCCGCTGCTCCGCACACCCGCCCTGGCCCTCCCAGGCCTTAGGTCCTAAGTTTGAAGTTTGTTTTGTATTTTTAAGGACACATATATGGTCTCATGCCACCCCACACTGCGTCCTCAAGCGGAAAACAAAATGTATTTGTGCCTTCTATGAGGGATGGGGGACAAGGGATCCTAGGTGTCCCAGCCCCTCGCCCTTCCAGGCCCCACAGCAATAAGACCCCCTCTCCTCTCCTCTGTAGTTTGGACAAATATATTTATATGATATGTGTAACTGTGGTCGTAGGAAGTGTGTTCTTACTGAGAGGCGTCGCCACAGAGAAGGGCCTCAAAGTCCCAGCCCCTGTTGTGGGGGAGGGAACCAGTAGGTGCGTTCTTAGTGGGCCTTCTGATGTGCCAGAGAGGCCACAAGAAAAGGCACACCTGTCTCCCAGGAGGGAGGGCTGGCCCGGAGCACATGTTTCAGGAGGCAGCGGCCTGACTGATGGTGGGAAGGGAAAGGACACACAAGAAAGAGCACGGGTTTCCATTCGGGGCCGTCCTCGCTGCGCCCGGGGCCAGGAGACAAACATCACTCCTGTCAAGAGCACACACGTTCGTGGTCTGTCCGGTGAGGTGTGCTCTAAGCTTCTACCTCTGCAACGATGTTGGCTGTCTCATCGGTCCCCCCTGTGCTGCGTCCCACACACCCCCATGTCCTCTTCGACCCCACCACCCCAGCCGCACATTCTGCCCACTGTCTGGATAACAAACATTCACAGCATCATGGAGCCTATTTTGAGGAAGGACCCGTGTGCTCCCCAACTCGCTGTGTGCCCTGCCAGGCCCATACCTGCAGCTCCCTCCCCCTCTGTCCCAGATGCCTTTCCAGTACTCTCCATCCCCCTCAGGGTCATTCATCAGTCCTCCCCCACAATTCCCTGTCTTCATCCACCTGAAACCCACCCACCCACCCACCCGCTTCCTGCCCCACCTGGATGACATATCCTTCCTTCTTCCCTCCCGTCTGTCTCCTAGCAACCCCATCTCATTCCCTGAATCCTTTCCAAGGAAATTGGAGATAATGGATCTCTCTCCTCTCTCCATCTCAACCTCTCTTTATTGATCCTCCTTTAATGAAAGTTAATTATAACAATGATTTAATTAATAGAATCCCTCTCTTCCTTTATTGCTTCCCGTATTAAGACTATTAATAAATACGAGCCGGGCTGACAGAGGCATCCATCACTGGCCCGGGATTCCCCCATCCCTCTTTACCCCCTCCCCTCTCCCCCTCCCTCCCTTGGCCTATAAACTTGCCGGGGTAGTGGGGGTTAATCAGAGAGAAATTATGAGCCAACATCCCCAGCAGGAGGTGTGTTTAATGAAATGACTTGTGATTTATGTCTGGGGGAGGCTGGGCGGGAATAATTTGGGGCCTACACATTCTGGCTTCCAGGAGGTTGGTCCCCTAGAGCAAAAGGAGAAGGGAGACAGACAACAGGGGTGCAGAGCCCACTGCCTGCTCCCTGCCAACTCTCTGGCACACACACAAGCCATGTGCTAACCAACCCAGGCCCCCGACACACACTGCCTCAGTAGAGGCACTAGTGAGGACCATACTGTGGGCTCCTCTGCTGGGTGGGCCCTTCTCACCCCCTGCATGTCTCTTCAGCTCTGCCCCTCTTTAGCCCCACAGCTGCTCCCACTTCCTCTGTGAAGCAACCCACCCGCCCCCTAATATGATGCCAAGCACCCCAGCCACCCCTTTCCTGGGATCCACGGCTGTCGCTGTGCTTGCTCACGATGGAACTTGTGCAGGTGTTTGGAGCAGGGAGGGGGACAGCTGGCCGACAGATGCAGATGGGTACATGGCTCAGTGTTTGCCAGCTCCTGTCACACCTCCATTCGAAAGGGGATGTGTCCTGCTCTCCATGCTTCCCAGCTGCGAGGACTGAAGGCCCTGGGGTGGAAGGGAAAGCCAGATGAAGCGGCAGCAGACAGGGGCGTCCGTCAGGATTTGTCACCAGGGTGGACCCAGCTGTCAGTACCCTCTGGGTGCCTTGTGGTGCTCTGTCTGCAAGAACTGAAGTGTGAGAGGCTCAGGGTGCCAGTGCGGTTTCAGTGGCTGGTCCGTGTGCTTTTCCACACAGGGAAAACCGCTTCACAGAAATGTGTAGCCTTTGAATGACTCTGAGCAGCGGCAATTCTCTCCACCCAAAGGGTGCTTCAAGGCCTGCTTGAATCCCCTGTATCCGGAGGAGATGGCACATGTGACATGTTCATAAACCCACACTCTGCCGGCTGTGCCTGCCTGGAGTCCCAGTGCCTGGGAACAGCATTCAAGGTCAGCGTGAGCTGTATCATGAAATCCTGTTTCAAAAGGCCAAGGGCTGGTTAGGTGTGGTGATGTTTGCAAGGTCCTGCCAGCATAACTACAGAGACCCAGTCCTTAAAAGAGAAAAGGGAAGGGGGGAATGCCCAAAGGCTAGGAATAGAATCCCGCAGGGCAGACCTTGCCTAGTTTGTGCAAGTTCTGGCCAGATCTCCAGCACTTTAAACAAACAAAGCTCTTATCGTGTGCACAAGGTTTTCATTTCTCCCTGCATGCATGTCTGTGCATATGTATGCCTAGGATCTGAAGAGACCGGAAGAAGACAGCAGATCCTGAGAACCGGAGCTGTTGGCTGTAAATCACCACGTGGGTTCTGGGAGCTGAGCCTGGTCCCCGGAAGAGCAGCCAGTGCCCTCACCTGCTGAGTGCGAAGCACCGTCTCTCCAGCGCCCACCATCAGCGAGGGAGCACCAAGCACCACCACCACCACCACCACTGCAGTGCGGGAGGCTGCTTGACAAAAACAGAGTTTGCTATCAGCTGCTACTGAGGCGTGTTTGTTAACTTAAGAAATACTGTGAGTGATCTGGATGAGCAGACGCAATGGTTAAAAACATGCCCTTCTGCCAGGCAGAATCTCAGCGTTTGGGAGGCAGAGGCAGAGGCAGCATAGCCAGGGCTACACAGAGAAACCCTGTCTCAAAAACCAAACAACAAAACGCCCTTAGAGAGCTTCTCATCGATGCAATCAGAAAATACAAGAAACAAAATGAGTTCTCCTTTGGAGGCCTGCACAGCACATGGCGGGACCCACAGGGACAAGTCTTGAAGTGTGAGCAGGTAGGAGCCTCGCATGTGCAAGCAGAAGGAAGAGCGACCCCCAGGAGCTAGTCCTCATCTATTCAATCAACAAATGTTAACACTGGGTTTCTACTGTGTGCCAGGTGCTGTGTTTGGCACTGGAGAAACACATGAACAGAACAGGAATGCGCACGTAACATATGCTCTGTTGCCAGGTCATCAAGGTCCAGAGAATCCAGCTAAAAACCTTTTGTAATAATCCAGACCCAAACACGTGGAACTTGGTGATAATTAAATATGAGAAGTGAGCAGGAAAAAAAATCAAGCTCACGCCACATTTCTGGCACTAAATGACCAGGTAGCTGATGATGTCAGTCGCTAAATAAATAATATAAATAGAGAAATATGTGTGAGGAAAAGATGGATTGGTGCAAGTTTAGCTTGTGGGAGTCCTGTTATTTGTGGGATCTTCTGAAGGAAAAAGTGGACCAGTAAACAGTGGAAATAGAGATCAAGATCCTTGACAGTAAAGTCAGTAAAGGAATGCAGAAAGATCATCCAGTCCCGTTCACATAACGAAGGTCAGAGACCAGGGACAGAGCAGAGAGCTTCAGGGTGGAGGGGGAGGGAGATAGAGAAGACAGAAAAGGACAGGAGAAAGAAGTAGGAAGCCCTTCAGGAGAGGCGAATCCAGGAGAGGGCGAGGCAGGAGTAGGACAAAGGCCAGGGAAGTGCCTCGTGGACACCACTGAACTAACAGCCAGCGACACCGCTATCGGGACACACTGAGCTGTCTGTGTAGAGCTGAGCTTCCCAGCCCCTGCAGTAGTGCGAGGTTCCGACCTGTGGGGACAGGGAATATATCCAGACTCGTAAACACTGAGAGGTGGCCAGCAAAATGGCTCAGCAGCTTAAAGCACTTGCTGGCAAGCCTGACCAGCCGACAGCACCCACACAGTCACAAGAAGGGAACAAGTTCCAGCAAGCTGTCCTCTGGCATCCACAGTCGCACCGAGGCATGTGCAGACTCATGGATATACATACAGGATAAGTGAACTTTTAATGCAATTAGATAAACAAGGGCCCCTGAGCCGAAGGGGATGGGGAGCAGGGACTGGGTAGTGGTGGTCACGCCTTTAATCCCAGCACTTGGGAGGCAGAAGCAGGGGGATGTCTGAGTTTGAGGCCAGTCTGGTCTACAGAGTGAGTGCCAGGACAGCCTGGTCTACAAAGGGGGGGGGGGGGGGAACATGCAAAAACAAAAAACAAACAGTAGAAATAAATGAAAAAGTCTAGAACTCCAAACTCTCCGGCCTCCACCCAGCAGGGTGTGGGACACACCCTGTCTTTGAGACAGGGTCTGGCTATGTTTGGCCAGGTTGGCCTTAGACTCCTGAGCTCAGGGAATTCTCCGGCCTCAGTCTCTCAGGGACTATAGGCTCCACCAAGCATGAAAGCTAGCGTGATTTAAAGTCCTGCTCTGTTCACTAGGGAGGCCACAGCACTATACCACTAAATGCTTGGACCATAGCTGGGGATATGCTGTGTGCTGAGGAATACGATAGATTTCGAAGAGTTAAGACTTGAAAAAATTAGTGTCTCAAAATGTTACACTGATCTCAGGTTGAAATGACGTGTTTTGGGAGAACACATACCCTTAACAGCAGCCATCATTTATAGGTATCATCACTGCGCTGACAGACAAATCCATTCTGGATTATTTTTACTTTTTAAATGGGGCTATCAGGAAATTTTACATCGTGTGCACAACTAGAGTCAAATTTCTACCACGCAGCACTACCGTAAGCCCCACTGCAGAAGAGAACTCTTCCAGCCTGGACACGCCTCGGCTTTCCCATAAGCTAGTGTCGCCACAAATTAACCATCTTTCTTAGCAGGAAGACCAACACACACACACGTGATTTCCTTCTTTACAGACTGGAAGGGGCCCTGTAACCCTGAATTTAGGAAGCATGTCCTCCCTGTTTCCTCCATTTCCATCCTTTTTCCTCTTTTCTTTTCCTCTTTCCTGTAACTGTGGAAATTTCCCAAATTGGTAGAAACAAAGAGTTCTAGTAATGACCCAGTCTCTAAAGCCCTAGACATCACAGACTCCCCGGTTCTGGTTCACCCCAAGCTCTCAACGTTTTCCCCTAGCG